ATGTACATTATTCAGTGGAATATGGGGGGGGCTTCCTTTCCCACCCCCACTACCAAAATATTAGGGTTTTCTATCATTCACCCTTATACACCCACCACCACCCTTATCCCACATATCAATAATTTTTTATTCATTCTAAGAATATCTGTTTCTATTTTGTTAATATTGCTTTGTTTTGTCAATTAGATAAATTTGTGATAGAAAAATAAACTTGAGATGATATTATGTCATATTAAACATAAAAAACTGCCTCCCTCTCTCATCCACCGTTTTTCCATACCCAACAAGATTTTTCAATAAAGGGTAAGTGTGTGTTAAATGTTCATTTTTCCTTTTTTATTAGTTTTTAAAATTTTATTGCCGTTTTTGTATGAAAACTATATTTAATCTTCAAAAAAATTATTTTTTGTTAATTTTTTTGGTGTCGAAACGGTTTAAATTTGGGATTTACATTTTTCTTATGGAAGAATGGTTTCACCATTTGTAAATTTTTCGCCATTGGGCAGACTCTCGGGAAGGGATTAATCACGAAACTTGGGGGGTCCAAGTAATTTATATTAATCAATGAAGGGGTAAAATTTATATTGGATAAAAAATTGAGTAGTATTGGTGGGTTGGTAGACAGCAACCACCCAGGAAGTACTACCGCCCTCCCAGATACTGTGAAACAAAAACCTTTAACTGTTTTTGCATGATGGTGGGATTGCTGTTTTTTTTTTTTTCTTCTCATAACACGCTAATAACGGGGATATCTGCTACTCCTACTTACACTTTGTCACACTTCCAGACACGCACATGCATATATAATATATCAGGGGACCCCCGGTTACTATTTTTTCACTCCAAAAGTATGTTCAGGTGCCAGACTACGAATTTTTCCCCATAAGAATATTGTAAAAATTTAGCCCTTTCAGACCCCCAAACAACCGTACAAACCACTTACATAAATACATTTACAAAATTTGGGTTCGCATTCGGAGGTAACTTATCGGGGGTCCACGTATACATACATCTGGGTTTTTTTTTCCTTTTTCTAAATACTTTTGTTCTTTTTTTTTTCTTCTATTGTCCAGGGAATGGAAAAGAATCTTTCCTCCGTAAGCCATGCGTGTCTATGGGCACAAAAAGCCGGGAGCAATGGCTAGAAACCCCTTCTACTGTATACTTTTACAAAAAAAAAGAAAGAAAAATTAAAAACTGGGAAAGCTTAAAAGTGCGTGGATGATCGGATGACAAGAAACAAGATTGCTGATGTTATAATAAAAAAAGTTGGATTCCGGCTCTAAGCGAAACAAAGCGAAGGGGTAGGAGATTTTTAGTGGGGGAAAAAAAGGGATTAAATCTGGAGATCTGAGAAGTTTGAGCAAAGGGAAGGGGGAGCAGTAATGTTAAATGATAATTATGGGGAAAGGGGAAAAGGAAAAAAGTGTAAATTCAAGAATTATGTGGATTAAAAAAGGTTGGATGGAAATGGGGCATAATAACGTGTATGCACCCTGAGAAGAGAGGAATCAGAGGAAGAGAGAGTTTTTTGGGGGAGTTAATAATTTTAGAGCCTTTTAACCAAGTAGAGTTAATGTGGTAGGGACCTAATCTAAAGTGGGGAAACTTTTTGAGAGGGTTGGTAGGGAAATTTGGGGTGCCGGTGTAAATGAAATGGGCCCTTTGATTAACTTTGTATAGAAAGGGGTTTATTATAGTTTAAAACATATTTTAAGAAAAAGAGGGGTAAATAAGTATAACGTATATTAGGGCGAATACAGTAGTTTGTTGGATTAGTATTGGTAGAAAAAAGACTGTTTTGGTAACTTCAGGATGTCATGTTTTTAGAGGGCCCCAATTTATCAATCATTTCTAGTTTTTAAGCTACACTGAGAGTAAAAAGGGAGATGGGATACAAGAGGGTAGAAACACAGGGAAGAGAGAGGTAAGGTTTATAAAATAAAAGGGAGGCAGTTAGGGTAAATAAAAAACTATTGGAGGATGATGGGCTAATGAAGCATGGCAATGGGGGGGGGAAGAGGTATGGGGGAGGTTTTAAAAAAAGTAGTGTTAAGTGTTCACAGAAGTTTGTGGTTAAGGAAAGGGGGTGCAGGGGGAAAGGAGCGATGGTGGGAAAGAATAAAAAGATATAAGGGGGGAAAAGTTTCATATGAGAAGTTTTTACAAAGTAAAGTGATCAAGGGGAAGATATATGGGGAAAAAGAAGAGGTTAAGAAGTGGTGAACAATAAAAAAGAGCAAATAGAGAGGGGTAGATGTTTTCAACAAATTTTGTTGAAAATAAAAAAAGTTTTTGGGGGAGATTTAAAAATTTTTTTTAAAAAGCCGAGAACAAATGATTTTTTCAGTTAAAAATAGGGAAAGGGGAGTTAAAATGGAGAGTTAAGTATTGGGAAGATGGGGGGAAAATTTTTAGGGTTGTTTTAAAAGTTTGAAATAGGGGGGCCGTATTTCGTTTAGGGGAAGGAGGAATAACACTTTAGGGTGAGGAAGACCATTGTGAGTGGGGGGAAGTTTTTGAGGCGTAGGGAAAATGAAAGGGGGAAGGGACCGGGATTGAGGGATAAAGATAAAATGTTAAAAGCATGGGGGTAAGTTTTGGGGTGGGTTGGGGCAATTATTTTTAAAAAATGTAAAGGAAAAAGGGTAAGGTACCCAGGGATTGGCAAAGCTGCATAGTTCCTTTGTATAAAGGCAAAGGGGATAAAAAGAGTGCAAAAATTATAGGGGGGTAAGTCGTTGATGTACCTGGGAAAGGTATGGTAAATTATAATTGAAAAATTTAAAGTAAACGGAGAATAGGGGTGCAGATGAACAAGGAGCTTTAGGAAAGGTAGGGGGTGTGTGGACCAGGTGTTTACAGTGAAACATATAAGTGAACAGTATTAGATAAGGCTAAAAGAGGTCTTTGTGGCATTTATGGATTTGGAAAAGGCGTATGACAGGGTGGATAGGGGGCAATGTGGCAGATGTTGCAAGTGTATGGTGTAGGAGGTAGGTTACTGAAAGCAGTGAAGAGTTTTTACGAGGATAGTGAGGCTCAAGTTAGAGTATGTAGGAAAGAGGGAAATTTTTTCCCAGTAAAAGTAGGCCTTAGACAAGGATGTGTGATGTCACCGTGGTTGTTTAATATATTTATAGATGGGGTTGTAGAGAAGTAAAATGCGAGGGTCTTGGCAAGAGGCGTGGAGTTAAAAGATAAAGAATCACACACAAAGTGGGAGTTGTCACAGCTGCTCTTTGCTGATGACACTGTGCTCTTGGGAGATTCTGAAGAGAAGCTGCAGAGATTGGTGGATGAATTTGGTAGGGTGTGCAAAAGAAGAAAATTAAAGGTGAATACAGGAAAGAGTAAGGTTATGAGGATAACAAAAAGATTAGGTGATGAAAGATTGAATATCAGATTGGAGGGAGAGAGTATGGAGGAGTGAACGTATTCAGATATTTGGGAGTGGACGTGTCAGCGGATGGGTCTATGAAAGATGAGGTGAATCATAGAATTGATGAGGGAAAAAGAGTGAGTGGTGCACTTAGGAGTCTGTGGAGACAAAGAACTTTGTCCTTGGAGGCAAAGAGGGGAATGTATGAGAGTATAGTTTTTACCATGCTCTTATATGGGTGTGAAGCGTGGGTGATGAATGTTGCAGCGAGGAGAAGGCTGGAGGCAGTGGAGATGTCATGTCTGAGGGCAATGTGTGGTGTGAATATAATGCAGAGAATTCGTAGTTTGGAAGTTAGGAGGAGGTGCGGGATTACCAAAACTGTTGTCCAGAGGGCTGAGGAAGGGTTGTTGAGGTGGTTCGGACATGTAGAGAGAATGGAGCGAAACAGAATGACTTCAAGAGTGTACCAGTCTGTAGTGGAAGGAAGGCGGGGTAGGGGTCGGCCTAGGAAGGGTTGGAGGGAAGGGGTAAAGGAGGTTTTGTGTGCGAGGGGCTTGGACTTCCAGCAGGCATGCGTGAGCGTGTTTGATAGGAGTGAATGGAGACAAATGGTTTTTAATACGTACTTGACGTGCTGTTGGAGTGTGAGCAAAGTAACATTTATGAAGGGATTCAGGGAAACCGGCAGGCCGGACTTGAGTCCTGGAGATGGGAAGTACAGTGCCTGCACTCTGAAGGAGGGGTGTTAATGTTGCAGTTTAAAAACTGTAGTGTAAAGCACCCTTCTGGCAAGACAGTGATGGAGTGAATGATGGTGAAAGTTTTTCTTTTTCGGGCCACCCTGCCTTGGTGGGAATCGGCCAGTGTGATAATAAAAAAAAAAAAAATATTTCCTTGTATACATATCAATGGTTATGCTCTGCATACCAATGTTGTTAAAATAATACATCTTGTAGGAATAAAGTATTATTAGTAGTGTATATCAAATTTGTTTTTCCTGTATATCATTGCAATTACCTATACAACTTGAGTCTGAAAGAAAATGGATTACATTTAATATTATTTCACTTGATGACAAGCTTTGGTGGAAATATAATGCTGTTGTTATATAAGGAAGATTTTTTAAATAATTTATTTATCATTCAATAAAACTAAGAATTAATAAACTTACAGAACAGCAACAACCAAGTTTGAAACTTCTGGGAACAAGGTGAGACAAAGTCCAGGCCCCATAAGGCCAAAGAGTGTCATCAAACGCCGCACCCTTAATACTGGCCAGCCTACTGATATTAACTGATCAGCACTGTGACCCCAGGCTGTAGAGAATAAATTCAAATATTAATTATAATTATTTATCTTATATAAAAGGCTAAATTTCATAATATATTTATTTTATTCAGGCAGATCCTTGCATCACAAGTGATAAATGTATGAATTACCACTGTTACTTACCTACACCACAAAGTGAGTTGATAATATAAGGCACTGCAGTGAGACTCATACTCTCTTTGTTTGCTCCCAGTGTCCGTGATAGGTATGTTGGCAGCCACTGCATGATGATATAGTTGCTCCAGTTCATGGCAAAATGTGCAATATAAATGGACCACAATGACCAATGGCTTATCCACTCTGACCAGCTTACACACACTTTTTCCTAATATAAATAAAAATGAGAATATGTGGCAAAACACTATATGCATTTCAGGATTCATGTTGTTATAAACAAAAAAATAAAGCCTTGCTCACAAGACTACATATTGTATTAGCACATTTTGGCTTTAAAAATACATTTCTGCATAAGGAGTCCTGGGAGTCTTGTCTGGAATATCTTAAACCTTATTCATACCAACACTCACCTTTCCAAGTCACAGAAAGCTACAACATGCTTTACACTCAGAGGTGACCCCTTCACCACCATTTACATGTTAGTATTTGCCTGTTATTCCAGACAACACAAGATTCAATCTGCATCTGAAACACAACAACAAGGAAGGCAGCAGAAGTTATGGACCCCCCTAGTGCCCATTCAACAGAAATGCATATGTAAAGCAAGTTGATCCCTTACAGCCAGTACATAACCTCTGTTCCCAGGTAGGAATGCCCAAGAAGGGAGTCCTGCAGTCTCCTCAGGAAGTAGAAAATGAAAGGCAGGAACCAAGCTCCCTGCAGAAAGCCCCTTCAGGCCTTGAACACCAAACAAGGAAGGCTGTAGTTGGCAGGTGTAACAAAGCACATCAAGTGAGACCCCTGCCCTTCAATTGCTTGTTGGACAGCTGATTTGCAAGCAACAGTATTAACCACAGACAAAAGAAACGAGTCACCAGATGACCTGGAATACCAGGACTCAAGAGAATCCACCAGGCTCCACACATCCCAGTCAGAAGGTAGTAGGGCCTGGAGCCCAAGGGAATTGGGGCCCTTGTTCTCATGACTGGCACCAGGCCTGCCAATGGAGGAAATGGCCAAAAAGGGCATCCCCCAATATCACACTGTGAACAAATGAGAAGCCATCTGACATGAAGCATTGTAGGGATTCACTCTCCTGAATAAGCCAATTCAGCTTGGAGAGCAGTCATGACAGGCTGCACAACTATCACCAAACAAAGGGTGAATGACCATCCCATACAGGGATTCTAGAAAAATGATAGGAACTGCCACAAGTCTTAAAAATACCCATAGGGCCCCATAAGCCCAGGAAAATAAAACATCAGCTAAGAAAGCATCCACCAAGGAGAGAAGTGTGCATATTACAATGTAATGACAAATGGGACTCAGAACACTGCCAGGGTTGCAACTAATGCTGGGAAAACATGGATTTGCCACTGGTAATGACAGGAGTCCTATGAGCGTGGAAGCACATGATAGACCTTACTGGGACTCATACAAGTGAATATTAATGTGAATTTAATTTAACAAATTCCAGAGGGCTTCCAAAGCAAAATGCACATATAGTTATTTGCAGTATTTACTGTACCTTGTCAAAGTTGGCAATACAGTAATTAACATTTATAATTGTAAAGTACTGTTTAATAACTTTTCTTAACTATTTCAATACACTGTGAAGAATAATAACTATTTTATTTGCAGGATTTGATGAACCACCAGTTTTAGGATCTTCTTACAAGTTTCTAGCTCATTTAGCATCCTTGTTGGACTAGGATATAAAATAAATAGGCTGCATTTGTGGTGGCTCATAAAATCCTACACACACATTTATTACCACTGCTTATTAATACAACCGCTAATGTTAAAATGCATAACTTCTTCAACAACAAAAACAAAATTTTTGAGGATTTTATTAACCCTTTGACTGTCGAAGGGCCCAATCCTGAAGTGTCTCCTGGTGTCGCAAAATATTTGAAAAAAAAAAAAATTATTTTTTCTTATGAAAATGTTAAGATTATTTTTCTGATTGTTTTAGTCCCCAAAAAAAATTTTTCCCATCATTACTTACGGAGATATAGAGGCATGAAGTTTGCAGAAAATGAGCCGCGTATGGCAACAGCGGCGACTGCCGCTCACCCGGTAAACTTTAGTTTACTTGTATTTGAAGGTTTGTTGTTTTTTTCACTATTTTATTTTTTCACATAACTTATGTGGCCTGTGAGACCAAAGTAAGGTGCAATGTACATATATACACTCGTTGTATACAACACAATAAGCACACAAACATAATTATCAATATATTGTTTACAAAACTTGTTTACAAAAACAAACAATACAAAAAATTGTTTATTACTATTGTTCTATAATATATATACCAATATACAGTCACTGAACATACTCCTAGAAGTTCTGCAGCTTGTGGAACTCTGTGAAACATGGTGTCATACACAGTGGTGTTTTACACTCTTACACATAAAACATGGTGTCATACACAGTGGTGTTTTACACTCTCACACATAAAACATGGTGTCATACACAGTGGTGTTTTACACTCCTCACACATAAAACATGGTGTCATACACAGTGGTGTTTTACACTCCTCAAACATAAAACATGGTGTCATACACAGTGGTGTTTTACACTCCTCAAACATAAAACATGGTGTCATACACAGTGGTGTTTTACACTCTCACACATAAAACATGGTGTCATACACAGTGGTGTTTTACACTCCTCACACATAAAACATGGTGTCATACACAGTGGTGTTTTACACTCTCACACATAAAAATGGTGTCTACACAGTGGTGTTTTACCCTCACAATAAAACTGGTGTCATACACAGTGGTGTTTTACATCCCACACATAAAACATGGTGTCATACACAAGGTGTTTTACCCTCACAAAAAATCATGTTGTGCTTTTTTTTTGATTTTTTTTTTTAGTGCAAAGAAAAAACCCCTCGTTGAGCAGTTTTCTTAAAAGTATTGCAGGCTTTGTTATTATTTACCCTAGGTAAATGGTGTGGTCATCTTTCCTTCCCTTCCTAATTTCCTTCTTTCCTTTCCACCTGGGGGGCATTCCACCTCTCTTCCTCACCCTTTCTGCCTTCTTAACTTTTTTTTCCTTTCATTAGCCCCTTCCTTCTTTCCCTGCCTTCCCTTCTTGCTTCGGGTTTCTATAATATTTTAAAATATTAGTCACTAGTACTTTCATAAAATGCTATTATCACCCTTCGAAAGTTGTCTTGTGTGCGGTGTGGGTTATAATTGTTTTGAGTCAGGAGTCGGCAGCTGTAAAAATAAAATTTTTTGTCTCTTAGTCACCCCCCTCCCCTGTCAAAACAATGGGGTCGGATGCGTTTCCCCCCCCTTTCTTCAATTATCTTTCCCCTCATTCTATCTCTTTAAATCTGTCTCTCTTTCTCCTCCTCTGTCACCCCCCCCCCATAAAAAAAACCCCCCCCCCAAAAAATCCAGAAAAAGTGCTTACTCTGCTTGAAGATGTGGTAAAGTGAGGATGACCAGTCTTGGGGCTCTCTCTGAGACAAGTAGCGGATAACGGGAGTTTGGCAGACAGACTAGACAGACAGACAAATGTTTGTTGGTCTCTTCTCCCCTTCCCCCTCCTCCTCCCCCTTCTCCTTCTCCTCCTCCTCCTCCTCCCCCCCCTCCCCTTCTCCTCCCCTTTTTCCTTCTCCTTCTCCTTTCTTTTCCCCCTCCTCCTCCTCCCCCCTTTTTCCTTTCCCCCCCTCCTCCTCTCCTCCTGGCTCTTGAAGATGGACAAACTGCCCCCCCCCCTCCCCCCGTTTACGTCTAAAGGTCAGTCTTATCAATGTTATCCCCCTTATCTTTTCCTGCATGGGGTGAATTTTTCATGCCCAAGGGGAAAAATATTATTACATATTTTTTTTTTAGGTATTAGGTTTAAATTTTTTTTCTTCCCTTTTTTTCCTCCCCCTTCCACCTTCCCCCTTCCCCTCCCCCCTCCCTCCTTCCCCCCTCCTCCTCTTCCCCCCCCCTTTCCCCCTCCTTTCCCATTTTACTCCTCCCCTTCTTTCCCCCTCCCTCCTTCCTCCCCCTCCTTCCTCCCCCTCCCTTCCCCCTCTCCCCCTTTTCCTTCCCCTCCCTCCTTCCTTCCCCTTTTTCCTTCCTTCCCTTCCCCCCTTCCTTCCTCCTCTTTTCCTCCTCCTCTTCTTCCCCTCCCCCTTTTTCCTCCTCCTCTTCCTCCCCCTCCACCTCCTCTATTGCTTTTTTGGGCTCAACCCTCGAAATCATGAAATTTTAAACTTCATTGACACTTTCCCTCGTGTTTAAGGGATCACTTGGGAAAAGGAAGAGTCCCCGATTTGAGGGGAAATACATATTTTTTACCGCTAGGACATGCTGAAAAAAGGACGACTTTAATGGTTTTTTCCCCCAATGCACCCTGGCTCCCCTTTTTTTTTTATGGGGCACACGACCATGGAGACCCCTTCTCCACATTGGGGGGCCCCACCAGCTTTCCCTGCTTGATTTGAAGCCGTAGAATTTATGCGTATAGATATCAAAAACGTATCTCCATAACGACATATACGACCCCACAGTCAAAGGGGTTAAAATTTTTATTAAAAAATCTAAAAGCTGAAAACAACAAGTAGACCGCTGTTAAAAAGGGGAGTTTCTTAATGAAAACGCCGTGTTATTAAACCCCTTTAGGGCCAAAAAGGCCAAAAAACTGAAGTGCCCATGTCCAAGAAATTTTGAAAAAAAAAAAAAAATTATTTTTTTTTTACAGTTTTAAAGAGATATTTTTGTGAGGAAAAAAAACAAAAAAAAAAAAATCTGATCAGTTTTTAAGAGTACGGCCAAGAAGTTTTAAAAAGATGTGGGGGCGGCAACATCGAAAATTCCACATACCCCATTACATTATTTTGTGGTTTTATTTTGTTTTTCTTTTCTTTTCCAATTTTTTCTTTCCTACTAAAAAAGGGGGCCCCTGAGAGCCCCAATCTGTATATAATTATATATAAAACTCACTGTATTGAACAAAATAACCGCACTAAAGTTATCATAATTTTATTGTTTACCACTTTTGTTTATTACAATAAACATGCACAAATATTGTATATACTAATGTTCTACTTATTTAATTTTTTAAAATCATGGACAGGGTTTTTTAGAACGCTGGACCTTGGGGAAACCCTTGAAACAAGGCCCATGCAAGAGGACCTTACATTCCTCGCCATAACCGGTGTTTGATCTTTGTTGCCGTCTTTTTGTTTGTGCCAGACAAGCATCCTTTTGGCTTTTTTCTGAGTTGAAGGAAGTGTATTATAAAAATGATCACCTTCCTCCTAAAACCTTGGTAATCCTAGGAATTCAGGACCTGTTTATTGCAGGTGTTGTACCTGGTCTATTATGGTTGTCGACAACAGACTGTTGCCAGTCTTTATTTGGTAAATATTTAGCATTGGCATTAAAATGCCCCATGAGAGGAAGAAAAGTTTCATGTACCCTTGAAACCTTACAAACACATCAACAAAACCAATTGCATGTCCACTTGTCAACCAGCGCATGTTTTGTGTAAAAATCAATCACTGACAGGTTTTGAATAGTTCTTGTCACTCGATAACTTTCCCACTGTTTTTGCATTTCATTACGGTAAATGGTTGTCAACAATTTGGGACATTCGTTTGTCTTTCCCACCGTAATGCCAGATGTCATTGGGCAGAAAAAAACCCTGCACTTCATCACCACGGCACCGCTTTTGGCCGGGCATATGTTTAAAATTTAGAAGCCGTGAAAACCATCGTTTGTTCACTCACATAAAATTCACTGAGTAATGGGCTTGTGTACCGTTATTGGATTAATTATGCCCCTTACCAAGATAAGGTGCCATCATTTTTACTACGTCACCTGAGTACCCATAACATTTGGTATTTTCCATGTTTTATACCCGGTATACAAAAAATACCCAACACCAGGCCACTGCAAAACACAGAGAAACAAACGTTTTATACCAAAGCTTTTTCCTCTTGCCGGTATATACTGCTTGAATGACAGTCTCCCTTTTGAACAAAATCAAAGACTCGTCAATTACAAGTTTTTTGAATGGATAAAAGTATATGTAAATTTTTGTTTGAGATACATGAAAACATTTCTAATCTTGTATAACCGTCACTTTGCCCCTGGCCGGGGGGGGGGTTGAAAAATTTCCCAAAATAGAAAGAGTAAGAAAAAATGTTCACTGGTATGATTTCATGAAGCCCGGGTAGAAATTAGCCATCGTGGACCAGTATGTTTTTATTTATGCTTATAAAAATGAGGCATAAGCATTATTGTTGAAAAAAAGCAAATACATTTCTGCAAAGTCGTCTCTTTCCCCCTGTGTAGTCTTGAAATGTGGTGATAAGATCGTATTTTCCAGGTGACTAAAATACTTTATTCCCTGGCAAAATTTCCCTCATAGTGGTCAAAGAATAATTCAAAAATTCCAGTTCATTGGCCAGGTTCCCGGGACAAGTGGGTTGAATTCCACTTTTGGGGTCATCAAGTGGTAGGTGGGGAAAAAAATGGGGTTTTGTGCCAAACCCACATACGGTTTTCTGGTGGTACGGAATTAGGGGGTTGTAGGGGGTTGTGGTTGTGGTGGGGGGTGGCTGACGCTCCGTTTGTCCTTGAACTGCGAGTCAGCAGCTTGGGGCCCCCGTGGCACGGGGAGTCATCTGGGGATGCCCCTACCACCACCACTAACCCATCCATGGCCTGTGGTTATCCATGCCGTGTAGCCACACCATCCTCACTTCATACCCCAAAAGGGTTTAGGGTAGGGATGTACCCCCGGGATGTTTCTCCGTCCCCGGGGGACAGCATGGGTAAACCGAGGCACGGCGGGAAAAATACCGACGCTTCACTGGTGAATGATTCCCCCACTTCATACTCGAATGATTGTCGAGCGCAAAAAAATCACAATCCAGTCATATCATGTCATTACTGAAGTCAGAGGCCCGGCCCCGCGAAAAAATTTGTTTTTTTTTGCGTTTAGGGAAAAACCCCACGTGAGTCACGATGCCCACACCAGAGGTAGAAGGGCGAGGGTCGTCAGGGGTTCTCTGCATTATCGTATCCCGGTCTTCTTTTCGGGGCACAACTGATCAAAGCCGTAGAATTGTCTTAATTTCCCCTTCCCTCAGTGTAGAACTATCAATAGGAAAGGAGGTCCCAATTTTCCGGGGGGGGTGAGCTGACTTGCGACGAGGCATGGTGAACAAGGGTGACTGAGTCGGCGTTCCCACAATGCTATGCAGGTGCCTAGATTTTTTGTTTATGGCGCACACCCACGGCGCAGACCCATTCTCTCACATGTAGGCCTATGAGCGCTTTTTGCGCTAAATTTTTACGGGCTAGAATTTTTGCATGTTCATGGTTTGGACATCACTGTAAAGCCGTAGATCTACGGGACGGACCCTGAAAGGGTTAAAACTGTGTTAGACAAACTGAAGAACTTAGGGGAAAAATAGGGTTATGTTCCAGGGAGCCCCCAAAAATCTAACAACTTTTTTTTTAAACCAACAGACCTTACAAAAATAAAAGTGAATTTGAAATTGTAGTTCATTGTTGTGACGTATTATGTTGTTTTTACTACTTAAGATTACAAATGCAACAGAAATAATAGTATTTCTTACCTTAAATTGTGGGTGCTGGTGTTTGTGGATGATTGTGGAGAGTGGAGAGTTATGCTGTGGCCCTACTGGGCTGAGGTGGACGGTAGAGGTTCTGGTACTGAAGTCGATGGTTATACTGGAGTGTGCATAAATTCTATTTTACTCAGAAGTACATTATACAACTAACGGTAAGGCATCGGCTGCTCTAGACACTGTTTCAGGGTCCTCTTCAGTGAAAAAGTCTAACTTTAAGTCAGTTAGTAAATCAGTCAAGTCAGTCAGTCAGTCAGTTGGGAAATCAGTCAGTCAGTCAGTCAGGAAATCAGTCAAATCAGTAAGTCAGTCAGTCAGTAAATCAGTCATGTCAGTCAAGCCAGTCAGTCCAGTCAAAGTCAGTAAGTCAGTCAAGTCAGTCAAGCAGTCAGTCAGTAATACAATCAGTAAGTTAGTCAGTAATACAGTCAGTCAATCAGTAAGTCAGTCCATCAAATCAGTAAATCAGTCAATTCAATAAGTCAGCCAATCAATCAGTAAGTCAGTCCAAGTCAGTAAATCAATCAATTCAATAAGTCAGTAAGTCAGCTTGTCAGTTAGTAAGTCAGTCAAGTAAGTCAGTAAATCAGGTCAGTGAGTCAGTCATTGGTGGAGGGTGGTGGGGGTGGCAGAGGGCAGTGGGGGTGGCGGGGGATGGGGAGAGGTCTCCCCCGTTGACTCAATGGTCTAACCCACAGCCAAGCAGAGTGTATCCCGTGGGCGACACGCGCTCCAAATTTTTTCCCCTCCCGCAAACTGAGCCATGTAAGTTAATTTTACAAAATGTCATACAAAAATATGAAGCAATTCTTCAATAGCGCTATAACAAAAACATGCCAAACAAAACCGTGTTCAACGACGGTCTATTGTACATCAAATTACTTGTTCAATTAGCTGTTGTCCCTCCTCATCTGGTAGAATGGGTGGATCATGGTAGGTAAGCAGCCAGCACACCACCCATACTAGGCCCACAAAGCCAAACAATTCAAAGCTTATATGCCAGTCCAAGTGAGGGACAAACTGAAAAATAGAAGAAATAAATGACAATCATACTGATACTAGAAAGTAATATAAATTAATAATACAGATATGTACTATATATAAAAGTAATAACATACAGGTTAAATTTATGGGTTTACCAACATGATATAATGTTCACTGAAGACAAATTTCTGCTGTAATAAAAACTTTCATCATCATTCAACATTTTCAAAATCACTCATACATAATGACTGTCTCTGCAGAGGCACTCAGATATGACAGCTTAGACATCCCTTCAAACTCCCAATATCCCAAACCCCTCCTCCAATATCCCAAACATCCCATTTCCAGGACTCAAGTCTGGCTAACCAGTTTCCCTGAATCCCTTCACAAAATATTACCCTGTTCACACTCCAACAGCTTGTCAGGTCCAAAAAACCATTCAACTCCATTCACTCCTATCTAACTCTTTGACTGTCGCAACCCCAAATCCTGAAGTGTCTCCTGGTGTCAAAAATTAAAAAAAAAAAAAGAAAAATAATAATAATAATTTTTTTTATTATTAACACACTGGCCGATTCCCACCAAGGCAGGGTGGCCCGAAAAAGAAAAACTTTCACCATCATTCACTCCATCACTGTCTTGCCAGAAAGGTGCTTTACACTACAGTTTTTAACCCTTTGACTGTTTTCGACGTATAAATACGTCTTACTAGCCAATGTTTCTGATGTATATATACTCAATAATTCTAGCGGCTTTAAATCAAGCGGGAGAAAGCTGGTAGGCCCACATGTGAGAGAATGGGTCTGTGTGGTCAGTGTGCACCACATAAAAAAATCCTGCAGCATACATTGCGTAATGAGAAAAAAAAAAGCTCTGATCGTTTTTTTGGAATAAAACGCCGACTTCGAGGTGTATTTTCGTATAGTATTTATCGTTGTATTCGCGTTTTCATGGTCTTAGGTGATAAAATGGAAAACATATTACAGAAATAGAGATGATTTTCATTACTTAGACGATGAAAACGACCTTGAAACTGAGCTCAAATTAGCGGAAATGTTCGATTTTTACCAATGTTCAGGAGTAAATAAATCACACCACACGTCCAATACACGTCAAATGGGGAGTCTAATATTCTTTCACTAGTGCACTGATATTATTTATACCATTTTTACAATAATGCAGTAGACTGCATAACAGTAAATTTTGTATTTTTTTGTATGAATAAAAAATCAAAATAGAAAGCAATAATAATATAAGAGGAGCCTAGAGATGTGACTAATGAACAGAGCATATGTTATTTTAGTGCCACAAATGTCTACCTTGTTTATTCTGGACCCTATTTTGAAATTGGCATCTTTTTTAGTTTGCGTGAAATTGGCCAAATTGCCAATTTCTGACCACCATATTGGGTAGTCCAAATTAGTAAATGGGAGGTTTCTTGTACTCAGCTGATAGATAAAATGGAGTTGTAAAGAAATAGCTATGAGTTTGGTCAACTGGAACAATGGAATTGGCTGAAAATAGGGCTCAAAGTCGGCGAAATCGCCGATACGCACATGTCGCCGAGACCGCTAAATTCGCAGGAGCATAATTCCATGAGTTTTGGACCAAATTTCGAACTTTTGGTGTCATTACCATCGGGAAAAGATTCTCTATCATTTAATAAGAAAAAATAATTTTTTTTTTTCAAAAATTGAGCGACATAGAATGACAGTTTTCTCAGTAGTAGTAACCAGTTACCAGTAACCAGTGTACCGTTGACTCAACGACCACCCTTTGCCCCGAGTCCTGTCATTTATATTGCGGAAAATGGCATTTTTCAAAGACCCCTCGGGTATGTGGGCCGCCGGGCAGTCAGTGTTAAGGTGTGAGCAGGGGGCAAGGAACGGTGGGGCCTCTCCAATATCTGCAATTATAGTAATAAAAGCCCACGTGAGTATTTCTTACCCAACCCCGTGCGAACTCCCCATGTAAATGGTGACAGCGGTGTGGAGCGTGGGTTTACATTTTTTAAAGGGTAATTAAGAAGTTTGAAGGCGGTTTGAGTAGGGCGGGCAAAAGGGGAAAACCCCCCACCACCGCCAATCCTCATCACCCCCCTCCCGCCTCAAGCCTGTTGCAGCCGTTTCAAATTTCCGGCTTTGTTGTGTGTAATTTCTTCAATCTCCGGGGGTTGACCCCCATTTTTCATTAGCCAGTCATAAGCCGACTGTGGGGTGAAAGCCAGTCGCATCACCGTGTCTCCTTCCAACGCCCCCCGTGCTTGTGCATGTTACACGTCTTCCAGTCAGCCATTTCTCGTGATTTTAGGGGTAAGCCAGTCAGCAACCCAGCTTCTAACCCAGCTGAGAGAGAGAAAGTAAGCCACGCAGTAGAAGTAAGCCAAGTTAATCTGAAAGTATTGTCTATCTCGCTCTTGTTGCTCCTGTTGGATGCTAAAGAGTGGTTTTCACCATTCCGTGTGGCATAGAGTGGGTTATCAAGCACTTCGTGGGTAGTGAGTGGATGTGCACGCCAGCGAGAAGTCATACCCACACCACCACCTCTATCACACCACCCCACCACCCACCACCACCACCAGCCAGGACACTCATCTTTGTTTGTTTTGTACATTGTACCCGGGGTCATAATTACTGTTTTGGCTCACATTAATTGGTCAGAGATTGTAGCTGGCGCCAACGATAAAACCCAATTATGAGAGTTCCCGAGAAACGCGCATTTCTTCCAGACAAACAGTTGTGAGTGTAGGAGGGAAAACACCACCCGCCCACAGGTAACAACATTCATCACCATCTCACCGCCATCTATACTCCTGCTTCAGTGATAATTTCTTGGAGACACTTTTTTCTTGCATTTTAAAAGAATTTTTGCGTGTGTGAGACATTTATATAAATTGGGGCTATTGGGGGGTGTACTCTAAACCTGGTGTTTTCAGTTTTTCTTGACTCGTTTATTTTTACATATTTTTCAGTGTTTTCATTTATCTTTATAATTTTTTTTATTCTGTTGTTTTTTATTATGCTACTCGTCTGTAGTAAGTATTATTGTGTAGTGTACCAGTCATGTCACACTGTGTGAAGTGATTCATTTTTTTTTATTGTATTCTTTCGACTTGTATTCTACAGTAATTGTTCATTGTAAGTTTCATGCGTGATATTCACCCCCGTATACTTAAATTTTCCATTTATTTTCTATGTGTGTCTTTTTTTTTTTCGTTATGCCCAGCAGTGTCTCATTCCTTAATTTTTTCGCAGACTTGTGTCCATTAATTTCGCCAGAAATTTTTTGGCGTATCAGTCACAAGAGCAAGATTTTGTTTGTATTAGTACAGCAGGAATTTGGGGTAAGATTATTCTAAATATGTTGTGTGCCCGCCACTGTAAGTGGTTTATTTCCTGTTTTTTTCTATGTTTTTTTGTATTCTTATTTTTTATATTTATTGAACATGTCTCTCTTGTTGCACAATTCAATTACTTTTAACGTAAAGTGTTTTCTTTTAACTCAGGCTTGGTAAATTGTTTTGTCTTGTTTAAAATTAAGAAGTTTATATAAGATGTTCATTCAGTTTTTTTTTTTTTTTTCTTACTTAGTTTGATTTTTTTCAATTGAACTGAGTTTTCCCAGTGACACTTATTACTGCAGTGAATTATTTTCTACATATTATTTTGTTACACTTGTTCATGCAGTGAATTAATTTCTTTTTTATAGATATTTTTTATGAAATTATATTTTTAATTTTGTCTATGCATTCTTAGTAAAATTACTTAAATTTCCAGTTAACTATTTAATAATTTTAGTTTATACTTTCAATTGAATTTACAAATTTAATTAAATTAATTTCTTTATTAGCAAGCGTAAGACAAGCTATTTTTGCATTTAATTTCAGTCTACTGTAATATTTTTATTGTATATTTCAATGTAAATTTTTTATTTGGCCAATAAGTCCTTTAAATTGAGTTTTCCTGCCTCTTGCCGTGTATCTTAGACAGTATTTTTTGATTACTTCTGCAGGAATTAGTTGTATATCTTGATTTTCAATTATATAGAATTTTATATCATTTTTATTGTTCATTATTTTTGCTTATTTGTTTCTCGTGTTTACTTTGCATTATGTACCTCACGACCGTCAAGTGATTCTTTAGTGAGATGTCGACACTCAGACCTCTAGGCTCTGTTGCCCTGTCAGTAGTACTTCACAGTTCCTTACCGACTGACAGACCGGGACCCAGTACCGTGATACTAAAGTTTATTACTAGATGATCCCTTGATCGTTTACCTCTTATTCATGGCCGGTAATAGTCTTGAAGCATGGCATTTGCAGCCATGTTCCGTTGCTAGTGCTCTAGGTGAAGGTGGCGCCTCTTCAGAGGAAAGTCTTATCTGAATTGCTAAAGAAGCTCTTTATCGATCTCCATGTGCTGTTCCTCGTATGGTTGATCTCCTTGATATGCGAGACTTCAGGATCTTACTAAGTGGTCACAATATGAGGAACTGATCGTTCTTTCCTTTGTTCCCAGTAAAAATGCTTGATCCATATGTCGTTCTTAGGGTACTCGTGACATGCTACACCCATGAGTAATGAATCGTGGAGTGCATTTGCTGTTAGATTAAGACAAACTTTTATCATCATTTATCAATGCTGTCACATTCATCATATTTTTCTCCTGACGAGGTTAAACCATTTACAGAATCACTTGCTAATATAGCAGCTTTTGGAGCAATTAAAGAACTAATGCCGCCTGCTTCTTGTTTGTGTGCGTATGAAGCGCTATCCTCAAACTGTAACGATTGGAACCAATTACAGCCTTTAAATCATGAACGTTCCTTGTGCCCCAGGGTACTTTCCCTTGTATTTAAAAGTAATGAGCCACATATGGCCTCAGTCTGCACCCACATCTTGTTTGCGCCTCAAGAGACAAATCTGTGGTCGTCAACATCTCAGAGCATCACCAAGAACCAGTGTACAGAGCTAGCTTATACAACCTCGTAGTATTCATAGTACATTCAGTAACCATAGTCGGCGGAATTGTTACAACTGTCGGTTTCCGTGGCCATATTGCAATTAATTGTCCTGATAGATACCTAAGGGGGGGGGAAGGGACGTGTACTGATGACTGTGTACCTCAGATCTTCCCTACTGTACTTATCATAGAATTCTTTGGACATGACACATCTGAGTGCAATGCTCTCTATAACCATTCAGTACTCTAGGTCTTTCCGTGGTTATTGTCCAATTCGCAGAACCGTAGAGGAAACAGATCTCATGGTTTTTCAAAATAACTCAGAGAACCAGGCTCGTTCTGCCAACTCGGGGAGATTTTGACAGCGCCCCAGTCAAACTCGTCCCATGTTGACAGTAGGTGATCATGAGTTACAACCATCCCTGTCTCATTCCTTTGACAGCCTTAAGCAAGTCTCGAGAATGACAACCTGTGATGTTGCTTCGCATGTCTCTGACATAGATGATTTTGGGGATGGAGTAGAACAAGTCTTTTCTGATGACAATCCACCCTTTTGTTTGCACATAACTTCCAATGCAACCATAGGCCCTATAGTGCGCAAGTATCTGTTTTTAATCGCGCCCGTTCATTTGTTCATGGACTCTGGTGCAACATAAGCTTCCTTGATTTGTTCTTTCTTTGCCAGGATGGAAGCGATGGTAGATTTGTTTTTAACCATACTTCCTGGCAAATTCCAACACTCGCATACAATTCTCAAATTTTTCAGTCACTTCTCTCTTAAATTCCATCATATTTCTCACTTTCTTTACCACAGGAACTTTACTAGGAACTTTCTTAGGGGCCACGCTTACTTATTTCGCAGCTGCACTTAATAAATAACAAAGAAAAACACTGATTTATAGTGAAATGTTTGGATGAATGAGCAGAAGCTTCCTCAATTGGCCAGCAATACAACTACATTGGCTCAGGAACACGCAAGCGTCACTGGCCAATATGAAAAATAATGGCCGACGACCGGAAGCCAAAAAATTGGCCGATAAGCGAGTTAGCTGATAAGCGGAACGGCCGATAACCGAGGGTTCGCTGTATATATTTTTTTTAAACACTGGCTGTCTCCCACTGATGTAGGGTGACCCAAAAAAGAAACACTTTTCACCATCACTCACTCCATCACCCTTTTGCCAGAGGCACTCAAATACTCCAATTCAAAACTGAAAATATCCCAACCCCTCCTTCAGAGTACAGGCATTGTACCTTATTGCTCCAGGATTCAAGGTGGGCTAACTGGTTTTCCCTGAATCCCTTCAGAAAATATTACCTTGCTCACACTCCAACAACTACAAGTTTCAAAAACCATTTGCCTCCACCCATTATGTACCTCTATAATCTTTTGACTACCATTCCTATCAAACAAGCTCACACACACACCTGCTGGATGTCCAAGCCCCTCACAAATAAAACCTCCTTTACCCCCCTCCCTAGGGTGACTCCTACCCTAGTACGTATTATCATATTTTAACTCAACAGCCATCTCCCATCAATGAAGGGTGACCCAAACATATTATTATTATTATTATTTATTACTATTTTAACACACTGGCCGTGTCCCACCGAGGTAGGATGACCCAAAAAAGAAACACTTTCACCATCATTCATACTATCACTGTCTTGCAAAATAGTATTATTATTATTATTATTATTTTATGAAGTATGTACTAATCCCATTAGGGTTAAGCAAATGTAGCAAAAGAACCACAATCCTTCATCCACTAATCACAAGACAGATGCATTTCCCTCACAGCAATGCTTTACATATTGTTGTATGCATATAGTTTTCATTGGTATGTACAGCCTCTCCTCACTTAATGATGGAGTTCCATTCCTAAGACCACGTCAGTAAACAAATTTGTCGCTAAGCGAGGAGTATACTATAATGGTAATGGGTTTGTGTCAACTATCTTTGATATTGTTTTAATGTCACCTTTGCACCATTTATAACATTTCTGGTATATTTTTAAATGTTTATACAGTAGTGTACTGTATATTGTAATAAACAGAATAGAGGAAATCAACTCTAGTATACATTATTTAGACATGCATACTGGTCAGTGAGCCCGTTGTAAGTCCAAGGCGTCGGTAAACGAGTATGTCGCTAAGTGAGAAGAGGCTGTACATACATTAGAAAACAAAGTCAAAGGCAGAACTGACATTTTATGAAGACAATGTTTCACTAGAAGACAAAACCGTTTTCAACAAACATCCCTAAAGATAAACAGCAAATACCAATTTACCAGGGATGCAATAGTTTGGCCTACAGAACCAGCAGCAACCATGTATCCAAAGGCTCGACTACGTTCCTCAGCGGGGATGTGTTGGGCGAAGAGTTGAAAGATTGTTGGCAAACCTGGAAATGAAATAGCAGTACGATTTAATGACAATTTTACTGCTGGATTGAGAGACAAGAATATCCAGTGATCAGAATGTTTACATTATGTGATGACTGTTAAGAGAAAAATGGCAAATATGCGGTATACCACAAACAGGTATATACATACGCAGATCTTCTATCCATAATATAATTCATTAACAAAATTTAACTTTTATAAATATCCCACAAATTGGAGAGGAAACTTAAGGCAAATTTCAGACTATCCTGGGCCATTTTCAAGTGATAATGAACCAGGGTGGACCAAAACAATGTCTTAAGTTCCCTCTCTAAATTTCAAGTTAGATGTTAACTGCTCCAGCCACAGTATTGTGATTTTTTTAATAACAAATAACAATCTTTTAATTCTCAATTCAATTAAAAATGGAAATGAAATAACTTTGAGTAATTATAAGACAGTGGTCACATAACACACTGAATAGTAATTAGCACTGAGTATTAAACTAACCAAGTCCTTCTCCAAGGCCTAAAATAACTCTTGTACAAATAAGTGCAGGAAGATGTGCAGCAGCTAACGGTGTGGCAGCAGTAGAGAGTGACCATAGGAGTACTGCAAAACAAAGAACTCTTCGCCCACCATAATTATTAACTGCAATTGCTCCGAGGATCTGAAAATGAAAATACAGTGTAAAGTGAATTTGTGATTTGTGGTTGTAAGAGAAGTGAATTCACAGGTGTTGGCAAGAGGTGTGGGGTTAAAAGATGAAGAATCTAACACAAAATGGGAGTTGTCACAGTCGCTCTTTGCTCATGACACTGTGCTTTTGGGAGATTCTGAAGAGAAGTTACAGAGGTTGGTGGACGAGTTTGGTAGGGTATGTAAAAGAAGAAAATTAAAAGTGAATAGTATAAGAAAGAGTAAGGTGATGAGGATAACAAAAAAATTAGGTGATGAAAGATTGGACATAATTTTGGAGGGCGAGAGTAAGGAGGAGGTGAATGTATTCAGATACTTAAGAGTAGACATGTCAGCAGATGGGTCTATGAAGGATGAGGTGAATCATAAGACTGATGAGGGGAAAAAGGGTGAGTGGTGCACTTAGGAGTCTGTGGAAACAAAGAACTCTGTCCATGAAAGCAACGAAGAGAATGTATGAGAGTATAGTTATACCAACGCTCTTATATGGGTGCGAAGCATGGGTGGTGAATGGTGCAACAAGGAGAAGGCTAGAGGCAGTGGAGATGTCATGTCTGAGGGCAATGTGTGGTGTGAATATAATGCAGAGAATTTGTAGTTTGGAAATTGGGAGGAGGTGCGGGATTACCAAAACTATCATCCAGAGGGCTGAGGAGGGGTTGCTGAGGTGGTTCGGACATGTAGAGAATGGAATGAAACAAAATGACTTCTAGAGTGTATAAATCTGTAGTGGAGGGAAGGCAGGGTAGGGGTTGGCCTAGGAAAGGCTGGAGGGAGGGGGCAAAAGAGGTTTTGTGTGCAAAGGGCTTGGACTTCCACCAAGCATGCATGAGCGTATTTGATAGGAGTGAATGGAGACAAATGGTTTTTAGAACTTGACGTGCTGTTGGAGTGGGAGCAAGGTAACATTTATGAAGGTATTCAGGAAAACTGGCAGGCCAGAGTTGAGTCCTGGAGATGGGAAGTACAGTGTCTGCACTCTGAAGGAGGGGTGTTAATGTTGCAGTTTTATAACTGTAGTGTAAGCATGCCTCTGGCAAGACAGTGATGAAGTGAATGATGATTAAAGTTTTTCTTTTTCAGGCCACCCTGCCTTGGTGGGAAAAGGCTGATGTGTTAATAATAATAATAATAATAATAATAATAATAATACAGTGGACCCTCAACCAACACTGGCATCGTCTAACGATAAAATCGCCTAATGATGCATTTCTGCGTAAAAATGTTGGCTTGACCAACGGTGAAAAACTCAGGTAACAACATTCCTCCCAAATGCGTTGGCCTGTCAGTCCAGCCTGAGCACCTCAGCTACCCTGCCTTCAGCTAGTGTGCCATTGTTTACAAGCCAGGGCAGATGGTTCCACTCATATATGCGATACATTTTGCATTACATGTATTCCATTGTTTATAGTGCTTGTAACTGCTAAATAAGCCACCTTAGGCCAAAAGAAAGCTTCTAGTGCCAACCCTGTGGTAAAAAGTGTGAGAAATAATATCGAAATACTATCGTACCACAGTCAGGTACTGCTGCACCACCATCAGCTGCTGCTGTACCATGGTCAAGTGCTACTGCACCACCATCAGCTACTGCTGCACCACAATCAGCTGCTGCTGCACCACCGTCAGCTGTACTACTCAAAGATGTGGAGTGTTGTTGGTGTGGCTTAACGAGAAACAATTACCGAGAAACAATTAACCCCAGAGGGTTAGCCACCCAGGATAACCCAAGAAAGTCAGTGCATTATCGAGGACTGTCTAACCTATTTCCATCTGTTTACAATAATGTTTACCACTGAATATATCATTGCTTAGTTAATCTTAAGTTAATTTTAAGCCTGCCCATAATGCTCTGCATTCAAGGGGCTTTGGCACGTTACACTTAACCACTGTATTTTTTTGTACTTCAATGTATCATGTTCAAATTAACAAAAAAAAATAAAAAAATTGGAGTCCTTAATCTTGTCCCTCAGGATGCAACCCACACCAGTCGACTAACACCCAGGTGAACAGGAAAAAATGCCTGGAACTAGTGCTCACATTGGTGAATTTAAGGCCAGCAAAGGTTGGTTTGAGAGATTTAAGAATCATAGTGGCATACACAGTATGATAAGGCATGGTGAAGCTGAAAAATTCCAACCCCAACAAGTGTTCAATTGTGATGAAACAGGCCTGTTCTGGAAGAAAATGCCAAACAGGACCTAAATTACTCAAGAGGAAAAGGCACTCCCAGGACACAAGCCTATGAAAGACAGGCTAACTCTCATGTTTTGTTGTAATGCTAGTGGGGATTGCAAAGTGAAGCCTTTACTTGTGTATCACTCTGAAAATCCCAGTGTGTTCAAGAAAAACTGTCTCATTACTCATCAATACTCTTCAATAAAGGTAAGTGTCATTATAGCATTTATTTATGTAGTTATTGTGCATGTCTCATTGTTTTCTTTGTAGGGAAATGAAAAAATAATTATTTTTTTAATACTTTTGGCTGTCTGGAACAGATTAATTGAATTTCCATTATTTCTTATGGGGGAAAATTAATTCAGCTAACGATAAATTCGGCTAAGGACAAGCTCTCTGGAACGGATTAATATCGTTGGTCAAGGGTCCACTGTAATAATAATAATAATAATAATAATAATAATAATAAAATAATAATAATAAAAAAATAATAATATTATTTTATTATTTTTTTTTTATTATCACACTGGCCGATTCCCACCAAGGCAGGGTGGCCCGAAAAAGAAAAACTTTCACCATCATTCACTCCATCACTGTCTTGCCAGAAGGGTGCTTTACACTACAGTTTTTAAACTGCAACATTAACACCCCTCCTTCAGAGTGCAGGCACTGTACTTCCCATCTCCAGGACTCAAGTCCGGCCTGCCGGTTTCCCTGAACCCCTTCATAAATGTTACTTTGCTCACACTCCAACAGCACGTCAAGTATTAAAAACCATTTGTCTCCATTCACTCCTATCAAACACGCTCATGCATGCCCCGCTTGAAGTCCAAGCCCCTCGCACACAAAACTCCTTTACCCCCCCCCCCCCCCCCCCCAACCTTTCCTAGCCGACCCCTACCCCCGCCTTCCTTCCACTACAGACTGATACACTCTTGAAGTCATTCTGTTTCGCTCCATTCCCCTTACATGTCCGAACCACCTCAACAACCCCTTTCCCCAGCCCACTGGACAACAGTTTTGGTAATCCGCACCTCCTCCTAACTTCCAAACTACGAATTCTCTGCATTATATTCACACCACACATTGCCCTCAGACATGACATCTCCACTGCCTCCAGCCTTCTCCTCGCTGCAACATTCATCACCCATGCTTCACACCCATATAAAAGCGTTGGTAAAACTATACTCTCATACATTCCCCTCTTTGCCTCCAAGGACAAAGTTCTTTGTCTCCCAAAGACTCCTAAGTGCACCACTCACTCTTTTCCCTCATCAATTCTATGATTCACCTCATCTTTCATAGCCCCATCCGCTGACACGTCCACTCCCAAATATCTGAATACATTCACCTCCTCCATACTCTCTCCCTCCAATCTGATATTCAATCTTCCATCACCTAATCTTTTTGTTATCCTCATAACCTTACTCTTTCCTGTATTCACCTTTAATTTTCTTCTTTTGCACACCTTACCAAATTCATCCACCAATCTCTGCAACTTCTCTTCAGAATCTCCCAAGAGCACAGTGTCATCAGCAAAAAGCAGCTGTGACAACTCCCACTTTTTGTGTGATTCTTTATCTTTTAACTCCACGCCTCTTGCCAAGACCCTCGCATTTACTTCTCTTACAACCCCATCTATAAATATATTAAACAACCACGGTGACATCACACATCCTTGTCTAAGGCCTACTTTTACTGGGAAAAAATTTCCCTCTTTCCTACATACTTTAACTTGAGCCTCACTATCCTCATAAAAACTCTTCACTGCTTTCAGTAACCTACCTCCTACACCATATACTTGCAACATCTGCCACATTGCCCCCCTATCCACCCTGTCATACGCCTTTTCCAAATCCATAAATGCCGTATCTAAATACTGTTCACTTATATGTTTCACTGTAAACACCTGGTCCACACACCCCCTACCTTTCCTAAAGCCTCCTTGTTCATCTGCTATCCTATTCTCCTATAAAATATAATAATAATAATAATAATAATAATAATAATAATAATAATAATAATAATAATAATAATATTATGAGAGTAGCTGAAATGTAAAGTGCTCCTAACAAATTAGTAAAATCTACATTGGTTGATTTCAAGAATTCACCAGCTTTTACTGGAAGATCTCCAGCAAATAACTGAGAACATTTGCAGGTTTTCACGCAAAAGAAAAAACTGGAAAACAAGTTTTATTTTGTATTTTATTAATTATATAAATGAAAAGCTATGTACAGTGGAACCTCAGTTTTTTAATTTAATTTGTTCCAGATGTCAATTCAACAATCAAAATCGACAACAACAAAGCAATTTTTCCCGTAAGAAATAATGTAAATAGAATTAATCTGTTCCAGACCCCAAATGACAATATAATAATATATATATAAGGTACTAACTACTACGTAAAACAATTAATAAAATTATACAGCACAGGGAAACTGTAAAAATTAATACTAAATGAAAATCTAACTGAAATACTGTACAGTCAATGAAAATTTAACCGCCCCTTACCTGTCAGAGGAGAGCTAATGGCATACCGGAAGCAGGAGGTGGGATGTTACTGCCTGGAAGGAGAGTTACTTTCTATTAACATGTCAGGCAACAGTCCTTCTAGTGTTCTCTTCTTTGTCTCTTTTCACCACTAACACCTGTTCTGGCTCAATGGTTCTTTGTCTTACTAAAACTCTGTCCAGCGAGGTTTGTTTCAGGCTCTGTTTTAACACTTGTCTAAACTGAGACATTACACTGTCATTGTACATGTTAGATGGATGGCCACAGCTTTGTCTGGTTGGT